TAGTCGCCTCTCTAAGCTACTTTGCTTTGGGAGTGCCATCTGCCCAGACTAAGGTCTGTTTTACTTTCCAACTTGTCCGGTGTGTTCCTTCCTGGGTGTTCTTCGCTGCAGTCAGCTCCTCAGAGCATTTGGTAAGGCCCTCGGTCTTACATTTTGGAGGCCCCAGGGAGATCCCCGGGCGGGAACCCTGGTTCAGCCAAGACTCTGTGGCGGGATCCAGCAGGAGACTCTTAGGCACAGACCTCAGAAAACCTCCGGAGGTAAATTTTTGGCCAGTTGCAACCGTTTGTTAAGTCAGGAGTGAGGTGGCTGACGGGCCGGTATGCCTCCCCTGACCCCAAGGTTCCTGACGAGGAACAAGGAAAGATTTAGTTTCATTTCTGTTGTGGCGCCTGTTCCGAACGTTAGTGTCCTGTTCATTGTGTGTTTAATTTTGTATTTCTTTCCAAACCATCAGGGCAGAGATGGGAGGATCCTGCTCCAAGAATACCCCATTGGACTGTTTTCTCACTAATTTTAAATTGGCTTTTTCCCCTGAACAGGAGGACGAATATGGGGTTAAATTCTCTCGCGGAAAACTTCTTTCCCTGTGTCAATTGGAATGGCCAGATTTCGGAGTTGGATGGCCAGCTGAGGGCTCTTTTGACCCAAGCCTCTGTCGGGCTGTATGGAAAAAGGTCACCGGTCACCCTAGTCTTCCTGACCAATTTCCTTATATAAATATTTGGTTCCAGGCTTGTGAAGAGCCTCCGGCTTGGCTGCAGCACTGTTCCCTGAGGACAGACACTCGCATTCTGGTTATGGCACCAAGGGGACCCCGAGAGGTCAAAACTCGGGCTCCCAGGCCGGTGCTCTCACAAGATCCTGATCCCTTAGATCCCTTCATAAGACCTCCATCCTATGTGGAGTCTTCCTCCTCCTCTGATAAAGCCGGCCACAGATCTCGAAACCCTTTCTACCCTCATCTTCCCGAAGAGGAAAAATCTCCGGATTCTGTGACCTCCCCCTCCCACACGTGAACAGGGGCCACTTATGGTCCCAGCAGGGCTCCCACTAAAGAGGCTCGTTCGATATCCTCTTTTACCTCTTCAGGAAACAGAGCAGGGTCATTATGTCTATATCCCTTTCTCTACCAGTGATTTGTATAATTGGAAACATCAAAATCCCCCTTTTTCAGAAAAGCCCCAGGCTTTGATCTCCCTCCTAGAATCTGTTTTTCATACCCATGACCCTACCTGGGATGATTGTCAACAACTCCTTCAAGCCCTTTTCACCTCCGAGGAGAGAGAGAGGATCCAAGGTCAAGCCATAAAATCAGTGTTGGGAGGAACAGAGGGCCCACTCGATGAGCAACAGCAGGCCCGTGTTGAGGCACAACTTCCGTCCACCTGTCCCCCGTGGCAAGCTAATTCCTTGAGCGGGAGAGAAGCTCTCCGCAACTACCGTCAGCATCTCTTAGCTGGCTTGAGGGGAGCCGCTCGAAAGCCTACCAATTTGAGCAAGGTAAGCGAGGTCCTCCAAGGACCTGAGGAATCCCCTTCTGCCTTTCTGGAGCGTCTGTTAGAAGCATACCGTACGTATACTCCAATTGACCCAGATGCCCCTGCAAATCAACAGGCAATTAATTTGGCTTTTGTCACTCAGTCGGCCCCAGATATTAGGAAGAAATTGCAGCAGATGGAAGGATTTGAGGGAGAAAATAGGGGAAAATTGATGAGCATGGCAGTGAAGGTGTTTAATAACAGGGATCCTTTTGATGACAGAATGGCTAAAAAGATAGGAAAGGCGAACATTGCAGCCTTGGCAGTTGGAGATTTTATCTGAAAGGAATACAGAGAAAATAAAAAAGAGGATAAAAGTAACGGCCCTTGTTAGAGAAGGATCAATGCACATATTGCAAAGAGAAGGGCCATTATAAAAGGCATTGTGAGAAGTTGAAAAGAAAGAGAAGGAGACTAAGAAAGAAAGAGATGGAGTTCTTCTAATAGATAAAAAAGATTGACGAGGCCAAGGTGGGGCTCTCCAAACACATCCACCAACTCCAGGAAGCCAGCATCTTGATCCCTTGCCAGTCAGTCTGGAATACACCCCTGCTTCCCTTGAAAAAGCCTGGTACCTCAGACTTCAGACTGGTACAGAATTTGCGGGAGGTAAACAGCTGGGTGGAGACCGTCCACCCAACGGTACCAAACCCCTATACTGTGTTGAGTCTCATCCCTCCTGCTCATGTGTGGTACTTGGAATTAGACCTCAAAGATGCATTTTTCAGCCTGCCTCTAGCACCAGTAGCCAGCCCCTCTTTGCCTTCAAATGGACTGACCCAGACACCGGGACTACCAGACAGCTGACATGGACCCGGCTGCCACAGGGATTCAAAAACTCCCCCACTCTGTTCGGGGAAGCTCTCAGCAAGGATTTACATGAGGTAAGAAAAGTGTTTCCCCAGGCGACTATTCTTCAGTATGTGGATGACCTCCTGGTGGTCACATCAACCGATAAAGAGGT